TTAACATTTCTAGTCAAATGTCTCAAAAGTGGCCAGGCGCAGTGGCTTATGTCTGTAATCCCAGCACTTTGGGAGGCCAAGGTGGGCAGATCACCTGAGGTCAGGAGTTTGAGATCAACCTGGCCAACATGACGAAAGCCATCTCTATTAAAAATACAAAAATTAGCTGGCTGTGGTGGCACATGCCTGTAATAGTCCCAGGTACTGGGGAGGCTGAGGCAGGAGAATGGCTTGAACCCAGGAGGCAGAGGTTGCAGTGAATTGACATTGTGCCACTGTACTCCAGCTTGGGCAATAGAGGGAGACTCCATCTCGAAACAAAACAAAAATGTTTCAAAAGTGTTTTAAGCCCGGTATGTTCAAAACAGAACTCTTGATTTCTTGAAACTGTTCCATCTAACTAAATGGCAACCCATCTTCCCAAGTCAGAAAATTAGAATTTATGATTCCTTTTTTTCTCTCTTTCTCACATTCAATCTTCAACAAGGTCTTAAAAATTCTATGCTCCCATTCCATTCCTTCCTCAATATAAATCTCTCTCTCCTTTTCCGTGCTGCTAGCGTCTCAGTCTGGGCCACCATTTTCTTTCTCCTGGAAAACTGCAACAGCTTCCTAACTAGGAACTCTACTTCTATCTCTTGATATCTTCCCGCTTTTTTGTGTGTGCAGTAGAAAAATTTTAATTAAAATATGTTTTTTTGTAGAGAGGGTTTCACCATGTTGTCCAGGCTGGTCTCGAACTCCTGGACTCAAACAATCAGCCTGCCCTGGCCTCCCGAAGCGCTCTGAGATTACAGGCCTGAGCCACTGTGGCTAGCCAACGACATTCTTAAAATACAAATAGGACTATTTCATTTCCTGACTAAAGAATCATCAAAGGCCTCCCACTCCCCTGAGAATAAAACTCCAATTCTTCATTCTGACTTGCAAGGCAAGTATAATGCTCGCCTAGCTCTGGTGTTGCCTGACTTTTTGATGTAGTCTTAGGCCGTCTCCCTTCAGCTTATTAATCCTAAGCCTCTTTGTCCTTTCTTTCTTTCTTCTTTTTTTTTTTTTTTGTTTGCTTTTCAGACAGGGTCTTGCTCTGTTACCCAGGCTGGAGTGCAGTGGCACAATCATGGCTCACTGCAGCCTTGACTGCCAGGCTCATGGGATCGTCCCATCTCAGCCTCCCAAGTAGCTCGGGCTACAGGCATGTGCCACCATACCCGATGGATTAAAAAACATTTTTTTTTTTAAAGTAGAGGTGGGGTCTCGGTATATTGCCCAGGCTGATCTCGAACTCCTCTTCCCACCTTGTCCTCCCAAAGTGCTGGTATTACAGGCGTGAGCCACTGCACCCAGCAGCCTCTCTGATTTTTATTCTTTGCGTTCACCAAGCTCTTTTCTGCCTTTGGCTTTTACACATGTCATTTTTTTTTCCTGAAAAGCTTCTCCCCCACATTTTGTATCTCCAACTCCTTTCTGTTCCTTAGATAATAAAATGAATATCACTTCTTCAGAGAGAGCTCCACGGATTATCATTTTTTTCTCCTTTCTACCTAAATTTTATTCTTTTCTTTTAAAACTTATTAAAAAGCACACTGCTTATTAGTGTGTGATATTGTTCTATTCACAACAGTCTCATAATTAGATTATCTTATTATCTCCTCTTTAAATATGGGGCAACTGAAAAATACACAGCTGGCAAGTGACAAAGTTGGATCAGACGGAAGTGGACTAGCTTGTGCTTTTTTTTTTTTTTTTTTTTAGTTGAGTCTTTCTTTGTCACCAGACTGGAGCTCAGTGGCACAATCATAGTTCATTGCAGCCTTAATCTCTTGGGTTCGAGCTATCATCCTGCCTCAGCCTCCTAAGCAGTGGGGACCACAGGCAGGTACTATGATGCCCAGCTAATACTTTTTAGTTTTTTGTAGCCATGAGGTCTTGCTCTGTTGCCCAGGCTGGTCTTCAACTCCTGAGCTCAAGCGACCCTCCTGCCTCAGCCCCCCAAAGTGCTAGGATTACCAGTATGAGCCACCATACCCAGCCTAGGAATGCTTTAAGAAATTATTTTCTATATGCCTGTCATTTATACATATGTAATACATATGGCATATACAAAAAAAGAGGGAAATGTAACTATGCAGTACTGGAACAGCATGGTGTATAGGAAAATAAATTTGGCTGGGCGTGGTGGCTCACATCTGTAATCCCAGAACTTTAGAAGGTTGAGGTGGGAGGATCTCTTGATCCCAGGAATTCAAGACCAGCCTAGGCAACATAGGCAGACCCCATCTCTAGAAAAATTTAAAAAGTTTTGGATGCCAGCCACCCAGAAGAATAAAAAGTTAGCTGAATGTAGTGGCACACATCTGTAGTCCCAGCTACTTGGGAAGCTGAGGTGGGAGGATGGCCTGATCCTAGGAGGTTGAGGCTGCAGAGAGTCATGATCATGCCACTGCACTCCAGCCTAAGTGATGGAGACCCTGTCTCAGAAAAAAAAAGAAAATAAGTTTATCTTCTTTACGTTAAATAGTAACATATAAAGGATCAAAGTTCAACTAAGCAACATCTTAAAGTGTGAGAACAGTGTGCAAGACATGCCTGAAATCAGACAGAAATGACAAGTGACAAAAGTGTGTCAATCAGATAAACGGGGCAGGATAGTGCATAGGGGCTGGGCCACCATGGAAACGTAGAAAAAAGGAAAGTCACAGAGGCAAACGGTTCTTAGTTTGATCCAAAGGAGAGGGAAGCACAGGCAATCTAGTCCAAGTCTTAGGATCCTTCTGGAAGGACTATGCTTGTGGAGTGAGGCATGGCCAGGGGCTTCCTGGGAAGGAGGCAGGTTAGCTACCTGCAATTCCAGATTCCATTTTTTTTCTCTTCAGCAGTTCATCATCATTCATAAATGTGTCAGAGGTCAGATGTCACAGGGGCACGCAGGAGGGGATTCCCACCTGGAGTGTGAGATAAGGAAACAGTTTGAATGTTGTAGTCATTACCATCCGCTTCTCTACAAGGCTGGAATTTATGGTGGCTGCACATTTGGAATGTTTTCTCCTTTTATTTATTTATTTTTAGATCAGACAATCACAAGAGAATACTCTTTTGTTTTATTTTTAGATCAGACAGTCACAAGAGAAAATTCTGCTGTGATCACTGGCGTTTAGAAGGAACCTTGTCTGGTTTGTGAAGCAATGAACGGAAAGCACATCCAGACAGTCCGTTAGTGGAAGCTTTGGAAGGGCACTGTCATTTGCTTTTCCTCCTACGCCATCAACAATTGTCGTTTTTGTTTTTTTTTTTAATTTTTTTTTTTTTTTTTAGGTAGAGTGTCTGTCGCTCAGGCTGGAGTGAAGTGGTGCCATCTCAGCTCACTGCAGCCTCCATTTCCTGGGTTCAAGTGATTCTCCTGCCTCGGCCTCCCAAGTAGCTGGGATCACAGGCATGTACCACCATGCCTGGCTAATTTCGATATTTTTAGGAGAGACCGGATTTCACTATGTTGGCCAGGCTAGTCTCGAACTCCTGACCTCAAATTAGCCACCCACCTCGGCCTCCCAAAGTGCTGGGATTACAGGTGTAAGCCACCAAATCCAGCCAACAATTGTCTTTTTTTCTTTACCAGGTACACAATGATGGGATAGTTGGGTCCTGCTTTCTAAGAAAACGCATGTGTGTTGAACACCTGGCCACTGAGAAACAGCTCTGAAATAGGTGCCATGCAGAAGAAGAGAGGGAAGGAACTGGAAAGACCCACTGATCTGTGGGTCTCACAGCTTCCCGTTACACAGATATTGCTCCTTTTCTCTCCTATGACGTTCTTTCCTCTTGATTCTCGTCCATTCTCCAATATTTCCTCCACTCTTACTCTGCTTTCATCTCCTTTTGTAACCGTTCATCAATAATTTTCATATAGATTAATATGATTATCTTACAAGCATAAAACATTTAGCTGCTGGGTTTGTATGAGTAATGAGTGAAGATGAAGCCAACATAATGATCCCGTTTAGTGCTCCAGAGTTATGATTCCAGAGTGGCCTGACTTTGGACAAATCACCCCATCTCCTTTGCCTTTCTTTCACCCTCTGTAAACTGGATAATGGCTCCTACCTCAAAGCATTGTTAGGATTGGAGAGAACGCATGTTATATACTTAGGAGAATGCTTGGCACTGGTCTCAAGAACTCCTGACTCTAATTGTTTAAAAAATGCTTATTGTAGGGCATTGTTGGTATCTTACACAGGGAATTTCGTGCAGTTTTCCTTTATTGAAGACATAGAGTAAGGTGCTTTGATGGAAACTATTGGGGCAAGATACACAGTAGCTAGCTAGAGGTTTTCTGGTTGCATGCATTATGGAGATTTTTTTTCCTGAATGGATATCGCTCTTGTGATAAGCTGGGCGAGGGCGAGCAATATCTTAGGGGACTATCCTGAGAGGATGGTAAGGTTATTTGATGAGAGTGCTAGGTGGCCCAGGCCAGACTTGGGAGAGGCAGGGAGAAAGGGGAACGACGGAGAAGGGCGCCTTGAGGTGCGCGTTGAAGGCTTTGGAAAGCCAGCGTTCTTTTGGGTGTAGGTGTCCCGGAAAGCTTTCTGTGCGCCCAGGGGACGAGGAGGATGCGCGGGCCGCCACCGCGGTAGTTTTGTTTGCTTGTCTCGGAAGAAGGTGTTCCAGACAGTTTCCTGAGCTTCGGCCCCGGACGTGGCGAGAGCCCGGGCGCCCACGCCGCCCTCGGGGTCTTCCACCGCCACGGGGACAAAGCCCTGGGAGGAGCTCCGGCTGCCCCGCCGCGCGCGCCCCGGCGCTTCCCAGTCCCGGCCGACGCCTGCGCCTCCGCCTGGCGCGCCTCGCGGTGCAGCGGGCGGTGGCCCCGCGCGCCCGGCGGGAGGCGCCTCGGGATGTTTCCGTCTGGTCCTTCCCTCCTCCCCCCGCGCTGACTCCATCCGCTCCCCGCCCCCTGCTCGGAGCCGCCGCCACGCGGGAAGGGAGGGAGCCGGCCCCGAGACTGCATCGTTCCGCACCGGCTGCTGCAGGGCCAGAGGGAGCAGGTGGAGCGAGCGAGCGAGCCGAGCCGGACGGAGCGCGCCAGACCCAGGGCGACACTGCAGTGACGCGGCCCGGGAGACATGGCGGCCGGGCGTCTCTGAATAAGCAGAATCCGGAGCCCCTCGCCGCCCCCGGCCGCCGCAGCCCGGGCCATGCCGCACGGCTGCTAACGGCACGCAGGGGCCGGCCCCGAGGACACATGCGGCGGCCGCTGCCGCCTTGCCCCTGACCCTCTGTTCTCCATGTTGCATTTCTCATCAGTTTCTTGGGCGGTGTAGCTACCGCTGCCACAGGAGCCGGCGGGGCATCGCGCTGCTCATTCATCCAGCCTCACTTTCTTTTCCATTTCCACCCCTCCCTCTCCATTTCCTTCTCCCTTTCCCCGCCAGCTTTGCATCTCTCTCCCTCACCCCGTCACCCTCTCCTGCATCCATCCACCGGGGCTATGGCCGCAGAAGAGGTATTGCAGACGGTGGACCATTATAAGACTGAGATAGAGAGGCTGACCAAGGAGCTCACGGAGACCACCCACGAGAAGATCCAGGCTGCCGAGTACGGGCTGGTGGTGCTGGAGGAGAAGCTGACCCTCAAACAGCAGTATGACGAGCTGGAGGCTGAGTACGACAGCCTCAAACAGGAGCTGGAGCAGCTCAAAGAGGTGAGTTGCCTGTCACCTCTCCCCTTCCTGGCCCTCACTCTCACCACCCGCAAGGCCCACTCATCATGATCAAGAAGTCATAAAGGATGTGATTGAAAGGACTGTTTCTTCGTCTAGGGCCCTTTGTTGATTAGAGAACATTGAAAGAATCCATTGTTTTCTCCCCCAAGAGAAAAATTGCCGAAGAAGTGAATCTATAAGCTGGAATTTGGGAGGCAATGCTGTTCGGCCTGCGGGGGAGGGAGATTCATAAGAGTCTTCAAGTCTCAGCACTCTAAGACGGCATTCAAGTGGGTTGGAATGTATAAATCAAACTTCTCAAAACCGCTGTTATCTCAAACCCAGGTTTCAGCGACAATCCCTTAGTCCACAAAAGTGATGAGGTTTATGCTTGAGGACCCGCAATTTCAGGATATAGACTGTATGGTACCTCAGCTTTTCTCACTCCTTGGTTAGAGAGGGAACTCCTCACCAATCCCATTTGACAAAGGCTGGGCAATCTTCATTCTGCTTGGCTTTAGTCATTCTTGTTATTAGGTAGCAGGAGAAAAACAACTTTGCTGGGTGATCCTACTGCCTCGATTTCACCTCGGAGCGAGGCTGGGCCATGCCCAAGTCTTATGAGGTCACCCTGACATGAAAAAATTGAACTCACCTACAAATAGTCTGAAAGAGTGGTGTATAGCAAATACGTGGGTAGTGTTGCATTTCAAATGAGGCTCTTCTGGTTGAAATGATATATTTATAAAACCAGACTATCACAAATGGGTGATGTATGATGTCTATCTTTAGTTTTTTGGTATTTGGCTTCTTTTAAAAGCTGTCTGATGTATGGGAGAAAACAATGAACGTGCTTTGATTTCCTATCAAGCACTCTTAAGAACATACATGTTGTTTAAGTAACTCGGTCTGTTTTATCTGATTCTTGAGGCACTATGGGTAGCAAGTAACCAGTTATAAATTTAAATGTAATATACGCTGCTTTTCTATGTGTCAAGTTCTTATTTTAGGTGGATATTGACATATAAATGTTAATTATCAGTTGGCATATAATATTACCAAAAATCTATTTCTTATGAGTTTGGTTTTTCTTGGGAGGGGTCTTAGGCTGTTACAGTTAAAAGATGTGATTTATAGTATATTGAATCAACTTGCCTTCTTATTTAGTATGTAATATGGTAAGCATTTATACTTTTAGATATCATATTTTTCTTTGGATGCCTGTCTACCAAAAAATAAATGTACTAATTATGATTAAAAATCCCAGCTAGGAATCTAATCTTTGTGTGTGTCAGGCTGTAAACTTCTAATTCATGTCTTATTTACCATGTACCTGTCTGGTCTTAACAGCTGGACTTGTTTATATTTTCCAACTTAGATTAGGCTGACATGTTTAAATGCAGTGATGCTAAACCTCGTGAAGTGAGGAAGCAGGATGGTGACTGTAGTTCTCAGAGATGTCTTGATATTGTCTATACCTATCAGCACTGCTTTGCCAAGACGGGAAAGTGCAAACCAGATAGTGGCAAGCCATCACCTTCTTGATAAAGGAGATGGACTTAATTGAATGAAATGTCCCTGTTACTGACCTTCCTGCCTGATTCGAACTATCCTTTTAGGGTTATTTCTGTCATTGCACTTATCTTGCATAGCAAACCTTGATGCAATTGTGTTTTGCCTTTGCTATAATATGATCTTTGCATCCAAAGTCTTTAACACAAAAGCTAGCACACAGTGGGCATGAAATATTTTATGAAAGAATCAATTTGTACTAGAGGAAGGCACACTTTTATTAAGCATTCACTAGTCAATACTGGTTAGTGTTAGGGAAATACTAAGGAAATTAGGATGTATAGGAAGTGACAGATATTAATAAAACTACATGTATTAGTTTCACCAGTAGTAATAAGAAAAATGAGAAAAAATGTTTTGTAGGAATAAAGCAACTGTGGTTTCTTAATACAGAATAATGCAAATACCAATTAAATTTTTCTCTAAATATTTTAATGTGTATTTTATTCTGTATAGCAGAAGGTTAATATAAATTTATCAGCATTATTATTACTAATGATTCTTGTTCATGTATTCAGTAGCATTTAGCGTAAATGAAATTCAATTTAAGGTTCCTAAAAACTGGTTTATATATTTATGTTATACTTGATTACTTGATAGTGAGGCCTGTTATTTTTATTCTTTAAGCATGGGATATACTTTAGTTACTTTAGTTGGAAATATTACTTAAATGAGTTAAATCAGTTTCAAGTAAGATTTCTTGTATGAAAAGTAAATCTAAAATAATTGTGCAAACTGAAGTGTTCCAACAGTAATATTATATAGAAGTTAGTTTTGAAAAATATATTTTGTGAGCATTTTGATTTTTCAAAAGGAAGTTTTGCTCATTATCAGGTATTTTTTTTTTTTTTTTTTTTTTTTGAGACGGAGTTTCGCTCTTGTTAACCCAGGCTGGAGTGCAATGGCACGATCTCGGCTCACCGCAACCTCCGCCTCCTGGGTTCAGGCAATTCTTCTGCCTCAGCCTCCTGAGTAGCTGGGATTACAGGCACACGCCACCATGCCCAGCTAATTTTTTGTATTTTTAGTAGAGACGGGGTTTCACCATGTTGACCAGGCTGGTCTCGATCTCTTGACCTCGTGATCCACCCGCCTCGGCCTCCCAAAGTGCTGGGATTACAGGCTTGAGCCACTGCGCCCGGCCATTATCAGGTATTTATAGTAAATAATGTTACATTACATCTGTAAAGCCAAGCATAAAAGAAATCTTTGGCTTATTTCTAGGCTCTTTCAACAAATATGACTTATTTAAAAATAATTAGACCAGTTTATGGGAATATCAACAGAAAACTATTTTACTTATTTAATTTTTTTGAGACAGAGTTTTGTTCTTGTTGCCCAAGCTGGAGTGCAATGGCATGATCTTGGCTCACTGCAACCTCTGTCTCCCGGGTTCAAGTGATTCCCCTGCCTCCTGAGTAGCTGGGATTACAGGCGTGCACCACCACGCCCAGCTCATGTTTTTGGTATTTTTAGTAGAAATGAGGTTTCACCATGTTAGCCAGGCCGGTCTGGAACTCCTGACCTCAGGTGAGCTACCCACCTCAGCCTCCCAAAGTGCTGGGATTACTATATTAAGTCCAATTTGGACATTAGTAACTTGCAGCATAGCAACGTGGCTCAGTCTTTGCAGGTCATTTTGTTTTCCAGAGTCAGCACCACTCAATGTTGCTACCTTCCTTCCCAGGCTAGGTACTGCTGTGACAATAATGTGAGTGGGCAGTGTTGCCTGCAGATGTGCAAAATCAAGAAGATGAAATTCATGAACTTTTAAAAATCCTAGTTATTTCTTCTATCAATCCAATTGTTTTTTGACCTGGCCTGACGTCACTTAGTGCTTTGCATGGACTGCTGTAATTCAGCTCACAAAAGAACACACTTGAAAGAACAGTACTAAGGATTTGGAAAAAGGATGACTTCTAACATCATCAGAATGTTCTCCTTTTCATGATGCTTTGGGCAACTGGACAGAGCAGTACCGTCCACTTGAATGCTTGAGTCTGGTTTTGTGATTTCACAAGTAACACTTGCTCTTCAGTGATCTGAGGGGCACCCATGCCCAGTCATGTTCAGGGCCTGGCTGATGATATGTTTGGGATGTGCGTAAATCATCACTGTGCCCCAGTCACCCAGGCCAGAATAGTGTTTGAAGAAGAGTCACAGCTCTAAAATAACCTGAACACTAAAAATATACATATATAAAAATACCCTAGATCTTAAACTTAAGAGTTTTTTTTTTAACTTAAAAATGGTTGAAATTTAGAATGTTGTAAAGTTGAAAAAGAGCCCCTTTAGAAAGGAATGATTCAGCATTACTGGTGGCATTTTAAAAAGGAAATGTGTCTGTGAGACGGCTTTAGAAAAGTTTTGCAGCTTGGATACAGTAGACTATGCACTAATGAGCTTCAACCCATTTTCTTCTCATTTTGTCAACCCTGACACTAAGGATAGTTACCAGCTGCTGAAGAAGCACTTTTTGGACATTGGGAGGCTTTTCCTTTTGGAGCCAGCTCTGTGCTTTTTCAGGGTTATAGTTAAGTCATTCAACACGTAAATATGTATTCATACAGTTTTAGAGCTTGTCACATTGGTGACCTGATGAATGCCATTTAAATTACCTAGATTCATCTTTAAGCAGAATTAATTTTTTTCCCCTCAAATGCTTAGAAAGATTGTTAGTTTCTTCTATATTTGTAAGTTCTAAATCACGAAATCATATGGCAAGAAAAACCCCAGATTTCTTTTCCAATCTATGAATAAACATAAAGAGCAAGTTAATACTTAATTGTTCTACCTTAACTATGATTTTAACTTCTCTCATTTTTGTTTAAATTTACATTTATCATCAAATTAACTTTAAAATCTAAAATATAGCTGGGCGCGGTGGCTCAAGCCTGTAATCTCAGCACTTTGGGAGGCCGAGGCGGGTGGATCACGAGGTCAAGAGATCGAGACCATCCTGGTCAACATGGTGAAACCCTGTCTCTACTTAAAAAATACAAAAATTAGCTGGGCATGGTGGGGCGTGCCTGTAATCCCAGCTACTCAGGAGGCTGAGGCAGGAGAATTGCCTGAACCCAGGAGGCGGAGGTTGCAAAGCCGAGATCGCGCCATTGTACTCCAGCCTGGGCAACAAGAGCGAAGCTCCGTCTCAAAAAAAAAAAATTAATAAAATAAAAATAAAGAAATAATAATAATAAATAAATATATTAAGATCTGCTTTTGGAAGCTCTTTACAAACAATCTTAACAAACAAACAATCACTTTCAGTCACATCTCTTTTTTTCTGGACCCAGTTGCTCTAATTTGCACTCTCCCTTCTTTTTTTTTTTTTTTTTTTTGAGACTGAGTTTTGTTCTTGTTGCCCAGGCCGGAGTGCAATGGCACGATCTTGGCTCACCTCAACCTCTGCCTCCCGGGTTCAAGCG